ATTACCCAAAAAAATCTGGAGAGGAAGGATTATTCATTCTTTGAATAATTCTTCTTCAAAAGAAAAATTGATTTATTAACCCCCAACCAAAAATCAATTTACACACTTTTCTGAACACTACCTTTTTATACACCGAATAAAGAGTAATTGTATCCATTGTAACCACATATAAACCAGAATCTTCACCACTTTGAAGACATGATCCAAAGCTAAATTTATAACTTCCGTTTTTGAATAATATTAAATGTGAGCTATTAAATGGTGAAAATACGGTAGTATATATACTTTTTTCGGTATTACTTAACTCTCTTATCATTTTTTTTTCTTGACAAAAGCAATTAACTGATAATAGCCATATAATAGCTACAAAGCATGTTTTCATACTTGACTATGTTTTTACAAAAATAATGCGATTAAATATACTTTGCAAAAATTCAAATAGCTCTGATTTTTTTTTTGATTTTATCTACAAAACTTAAAACATCACCGCCTTAAACCACACTCGCTTAGCTTCTAAATCTACTTTGTCGACTAATATGGTTATGGGCTGACCCATGTGAAATTCGATATGAGACTGTCGGCCTTTCAGCGTCAGAGAATTAATATCGAAGGTGAATACTTCTTTAAAATTGGTGCTGAGCTCTACATAGCCCTCGCATTTATTGTCCTTCAGCTCTACCCAGAATCCGTTGCCATTCATGCCGCTTATGATGCCTTGGTATTCTTTTTTAAGATGATAACTCAGGTATTCTACCTGCTTGTATTTAATACCTTCGCGCTCACAGTCGGTCGCTTTGCGCTCCTGATCGGAGCAATGCTGGCACATTTCTTCCATCTGCGCTGCAGTGTAGTTCGACTTTTTCTTTTTAAGCACTTCGGTCAACAGCCTATGCGCTATGAGATCTGGATAGCGGCGGATAGGAGAGGTGAAGTGAGAATAATGGGAATAACCTAAACCGTAGTGACCTATATTTATGGTAGAATAATATGCCTTGGACATAGACCTTATGGCCATTTGATTGAGGATATCAGACTCTGGAGTACTTACAATAGAGCCTAGAAAATCATTCAATATTTTGGCTGCCTGTTCTGGCTTATCTATTTTCTTGAGTTTATGTCCTCCAAGCTTCAGTGCAGAGTCTCTAAACTGCTCTAGCTTGGCCATATCAGGCACATCGTGATCTCTGTATACGCCTGCCGGAATGAGCTTCTTTTTAGTATAGACATCTAAGGCTCTGGCTACGCTAGTATTGGCGCGGAGCATATATTCTTCTATGAGCCAATTAGCTTCTTTCTGTACCTTGGGTATAATATCGAGAGGCACACCATCTTTATCTAGCACGAACTGCACCTCAGGTGCTTCAAAGTTGATCGCTCCTTTTTGGAAGCGTTCTTCGCGCCATATTGAGGCGATACTTTGCAAAAGCTTTATAACGTCTGCATGGTCTCCTTTTCCTGTTTCTATGACCTCTTGGGCTTCTTCATAGGTAAATCTTCTATCAGAATAAATGACGGTTTTCGCAAGATATTCATCATGTATCTTACCTTGTTCATCTATATGGTAAATCATGGAAAATGCTAATCTATCTACCTTAGGATTGAGAGAGCAAAGTTCATTGGATAATTTTTCTGGTAGCATAGGAGCTACTCTATCGGGAAGATATACTGAGGTGGCTCGGCGAAGAGCTTCTTTGTCTAGTTCTGTACCATCTTTTACATAATGTGCTACATCCGCTATATGCACCCCAATTTCATATTGACCATTGTCTAGTTTTTTTACCGAAAGGGCATCATCGAAGTCCCTTGCTGTTTTCGGGTCAATAGTAAATGTAAGCGTAGAACGCATATCCAGTCTATCGGCTAAGTCTTCTGCGCTGAGTTTAG